TCTTCTCAATAACCAAAACGCCCAGGGTACTGATATTGGGCCTGTAGCATGCTGGGATGAAGGGCTACCAAGTTTGTTCAAATGAATGACCTTGACCAGCTTTCAAGGTCACAGGGGTCAAATGTTTTAAAATCTTCAAACAACTTCTCAATAACCAAAAGGCCCAGGGTATTGAAATTAGGCCTGTAGCATGCTGGGATGAAGGACTACCAAGTTTAATCAAATGAATGACCTTGATCCACTTTCAACCTGATGTCCTTGTTCAACATTCAAGGTCACAGGCGTCATATGTTTAAATCTTTTAATAGGTTTTTATGAATCAAACACTGATATTCTGCCTGTAGCTGTATTTTAGACCACTTTTAAGATAACAAGTGTGAGATTAATACCAGGTGAGCGATGCAGGCCCATTGGGCCTCTTGTGTGTATGTATGTACCTGTTATTACCACCAGCAATGTCTGTCACAGTAGTATGTATGTCTTGTGTGTATGTATGTAATAACTTTGCCATGATTACTCATTTGAGCTATTGCCATCCATCTTCATTCGTTTTGCGTTGTCCGTTGTGCGTAAACTTTCTTACATGTTTTACTTCTTCTCAAAAACCAAAAACATTCATTGAACTATTTTTCCAGCAGATCTAGCTGATCCTCATCCACAATACCAAATTCAAAGCTGAAAAATAAAAAGATTTGTCAACAACACAACTTATTAAATTAATCCATAATAATAAATATGATACTGTGTTTTCACAGGCATTTTTTTATGTCAATTAAAATGACAATAAGATGTCACATTCTTCTCATATAAAATACCATTTTGTTTCTGTCAATAAAAATGGTCCTGCACAATAAGAAGTTATCCTACTCATATAAAATATTCGTTTTATACAAGTAGGGTTCGAATTCTTGTTGTCAGGATCATTTTGATTGACAGAAACAAATCATCAAATGCCTGTACGTGTTTTTGAATGTCTAAGTAACATCGTTTTTAGCACCAGATCCAACTGAAATATGCGATTAACAAAGAGTGCAGAATGGAGCGTTTGGTCCATGACCGCCAGACTTTATTCACTATAACTCATTTTCCTACGACATTTGATATGTGCACAATTATCTTTTCTTTTAGCATTTCGTGTAGTAGAACCTGCAAGTCCCGTTAAAAATCTTCTTCCTTCAAGAAGACATAATGTTACCTTCAAAATACGATCTATACTAAGTAAATACAATTGTAAAAACAACTCAATTATTCGTTAAAACACCTCACTAATTACTTGTCAGTAAGTTCAGTAACTACGGTCTTTAATATATATACATAAACATTTGTAAAAACAGTTCTAGTACATATATAAACAACTCACACCTTACCTGACGGTGAGAAATGGAAAAAGGAAATAGATTGTCTTTCTTATGACAAAGGATGGAAAAGTCTAGAGAATTCTGAGTGACTTCGGTAACTTCTAATTAATGAAAAGATCCCGGTGAAAAAAGGTGAAATGAACGAAATCCGGGTCAAAATCGTAACCCGGCGGGTGAAGGGCTAAAATTCCAGGTGTAACCCGACAAAATCGGCTCACTTGGCAGGTATGACTTCCAAAGAAGTGTTCTTGCTTTTGAAGCTGATCCGAAACCCAACATAGCTACCCTTGGCCTTCAGTTGCAGAGATTTTTCACTGATTTTCAAAAACAGTTGCAGTTATTGACAATCAATGTAATTAATGTGACTGTTAAGGCCTGTTTGGCCTTATGTTTACAATATATCATTGTTAGCTCACCTGGCCCGAAGGGCCAAGTGAGCTTATGGCATGGTGCGGCGTCCGGCGTCAACTTTATACTTTAAACAACTTCTCAGTAACCAAAAGGCCTAGGGTGATGATATTTGGCCAGAAGCATGCTTGGATAAAGGGCTACCAAGTTTGTTCAAATAAATGACCTTCATCAATTCTCAAGGTCACAGGGGCAAATATGTTAAAATCTTTAAACAATTTCTTCTGAATAACCAAGAGGCCTAGGATGATGATATTTGGCCAGTAACATGCTTGAATTAAGGGCTTCCAAGTTTGTTCAAATAAATGACCTTGCCTTATATTCAAGGTCACAGGGGTCAAATATGTTAAAATCTTTTAAACAACTTCTTCTGAATAACTGAGAGGCCTAGGGTGATGATATTTGGCCAGTAACATGCTGGGATGAAGGACTACCAAGTTTGTTCAAATAAATGACCTTGACTTATATCCAAGGTCACAGGGGTCAAATATGTTAAAAACATTTAAACAACTTCTTCTGAAAAACCAAGAGGCCTAGGGTGATGATATTTGGCCAGTAACATGCTGGGATGAAGGACTACCAAGTTTGTTCAAATAAATGACCTTGACTTATAACCAAGGTCACAGGGGTCAAATATGTTAAAAACATTTAAACAACTCTTCTGAAAAACCAAGAGGCCTAGGGTAATAATATTTGACCAGTAACATGCTGGGATGAAGGGCTGCCAGGATTTTTCAAATAAATGACCTTGACTTATATTCAAGGTCACAGGGGTCAAATATGTTAAAAACATTTAAACAATTTCTTCTGAATAACCAAGAGGCCTAGGTTGATGATAGTTGGCCAATAACATGCTGGGATGAAGGGTTACCAAGTTTGTTCAAATAAATGACCTTGACCCACTTTCAAGGTCACAGGGGTCAGATATGTTTAAGACCTTTAAACAACTTTTTAGGTCACCTGAGACAAAGACTCAAGTGACCTATTGCAATCGCCTTTTGTTCGTCGTCGTCCGGCGTACGTCGTCCGTCGTGCGTCCGTAAACAATTTACATTTTCGACTTCTTTTCCAAAACCCCTAAACCAATTTCAATATATTTTGCAGAAACCTTCCATGGCCAAAGGTCAACTAAAATTGTGAATTATATGGTCCCCAGCCCCCAGGGGCCTGAGGGGCGGGGCCAAAAATGGTGAAATTGACTAAAATTTCTAAAATCTTCTTCTCAAGATCCAGATATGGTAGAATCAAATACTCTTCATAGATAGAAGGGTCTTAAGGTGCTTTACTAAAATTGTGAATTTCTTGACCCTGGGGTCTCACGTTTCCCCCTGGGGAGGGGGTAAACTTTACTCTAGTTTATATAGGGAAATCACATTTTGGACCAACATTTGTTTAATTGCCATTGGAAGTAATTCAATTTATGTTGGCATTATCAGTATTGGGTAGCAGTTTGATAGTATGCACATATCAGCCCTGACTGACCCCCCGGGGCTAATGGGTGGGGCCAAAAAGGGTCGAATTGACTGAAATTTCAAAAATCTTCTTCTCAAGACCCAGATATGGTAGAATCAAATACTCTTCATAGATTGAAGGGTCTTAAGATGCTTTACCAAAATTGTGAATTTCATGATCCTGGGGTGTCACGTTTCCCCCTGAGGAGGGGGTAAACTTTACTATAGTTTATATAGGGAAATCACATTTTGGACCAAAATTTGTTTAATTGCCATTGGAAGTAATTCAATTTGGGTTAGCATTATCAGTATTGGGTAGCAGGTTGATGGTATACACATATGAGCCCTGACTGACCCCCCGAGGCTAATGGGTGGGGCCAAAAAGAGTTGAATTTACTGAAATTTCAAAAATCTTCTTCTCAAGGCCCAGATACGGTAGAATCAAATACTCGGGTCTTCAGGTGCTTTACCAAAATTGTGAATTTCATGACCCTGGGGTCTCGCGTTTCCCCCTGGGGAAGGCCGGGGGGGGGGGGACAAAATTTGTTTT